AAATTTTAAAACACCATGAGGAAAAAAAAGTCTTCAGGCCAGACTTGGCTACAGGCTTCTGATCTGTGACCTGCATCCATAACCTTTCCCTCATTAATGAATATCTTCATCCATGGCTGCAGCGTCCCTTGGGCCCCGGCTGCCTCCCAACTTTCACACTCTCAGTCGCCTCTGGACATTTTCATCTGAATACTCAGCTGACACCTCAAACACAAAATTGAATTCATTTTCCCACTAGAAAGCCACTTTTCTGTCAGACTTCCTTATTTGAATGGAACCACTTCTCTTCCTTTCAGTGAGATCCAGAAACTCAGCCATTAACTCAAACACATGCTTACTGAGAACTCACAATGTACCATATGCCACGCTGAACAACGCAGGATTGACAAGGCACATTCTTTGACCTTGAGAAGCTCACTGTCTGGTGGGAGAGATACGGACTAGGAAGAGAATGACAACACAATGTGATAAATACTCTAGAAAGATGTATATGGGGAGGCCTGAGCCAGAACAGAGACAAGATCGATCAAGGCATCACAGAATCCTTAATTCATTCAGCCAGTATTTATGGACTAGTACTCTAAGCCCTGGGGTTGAAACCACAAAGAAACTATTGGAGTTACAGTTTTGAAAAATATAGATTTTTGGGGTCACACAACGAACCAGGAAAGTAAAGAATAAGTAGGCAAGTGAGACCATTCCAGCGGGGACAGAACTCTCCAGGCCATCACCAAGAAGTCTACAGTATGTCCCCTGCACAGCCATCCAGCTGAGGGTAAGGGTGGGTTCTGCCCCAGAAACAGGGGGCTCCTCTCTCTAATTACAGCGAAGGCACTACACACCCTGTTGGTGGCCCTGAATCTTACAAAAAAGTGAAAGCAAGAGATATGGAGACTTTTCTAGATGAGGTGGTGGGGGAAGGTCTTGGCCCTGAGATCCAAATGACAAGCTCATCTAAAGGGAGAGTCTGCAGGGCTGAGAACACTCCGTGGAACAGCTCTGAGGCAGAAACAAACTTGGTGAGCGTGAGGACAGAGAACGAGGCCGGTGGCAGAAGGGCCGGCAAACCAAAGGTGTCAGTGCGTGCAGAGACCTCGCATTCTGAAGGTGTGTGGGGGCTGGCAGGGTGGGTGTGAGGGTTAGGAAATGAGTTAGAGAGCGACGGGTCCATCCAGATGGTGGAGGGGTGATAATAAGCCAATGAAGAGGCAAAGGGGGGAAGGGGGATTGTATCATCAGAGATGTTTCCTTTTCTTTCTGTTTTAGGGAGAAAACTGGGAAGGGTAAAGAGAATACGGAGAGAAGATAATAGACAAGAGAGGTGGCCAAACTCTGGACAGCAGCACTGGGCGTCTAATTGGACAGCATGAGGGAGAAAAAAGAAAAATGGAGAGACCGCCTGCAATGCTCCTCTCTCTCAGTCACCCCAGGTGGGCCTCTGTCTTCTTTCCCTTGTCTCTCAGTCCCCACTCCCTTTCCATCTGCAAGCCCCTGCCTGGTGTCCACAGACAGGAGCACACCTGTCATGCTGTCACTCAGAGCTCTGTTCTTGAGTCCTGTCTCACCACCCGCCTCGGACTGTCAGCTGCTTGAAGACAGGAGCCCTGTCTTACTTATCTTTGCATGACAAACAGAAAATTCCTTCCAGTTGCAGGAAAAAGAGAATCAATGAGCAAAAAGCAACCACATACTAAGGTGTAGTAGGGTGGCTCATAACATCATTTCGTAAAACACACACACACACACACACACACACACACACACACATTATTCAAACTGAACCTCATTTTCATACAGACTTAGCTGTAAATATGTTTAAGGCCATGCTGACATTTATTGGGCACATTTTTCTTACACCAAGCCCACCTAATAATAATGCTCAAGAAATATAAAAGCCTACTCCCAAATAGTCACAGAAATAAATAAAGTTGCCAAATAAAGAGAGAGATGAGCAAGGTGAAGGGCAAAGCCCTTGGGGTCTCATGCAGGGTTAGACTATGGCGTTTAATTTTAGCCCTCTGGCTCTCAGGACCAGCCTGAAGCCCTCTCATGCCACCTCCCATCGCTGAGCTTTCACCGGGGCACACAGATCATGAGGAGTTTATGAGAAGAAGCAAATTACCCCAGACAAGGGAAGTTTATCTCACACAGTCATCTCTTCTGAAAGAAGCCTGATTTATACTAACTTCCGCCAACATCGCTCATCTCCAGCTATGGCGGGTTACATGGGCCATCTGTAAAGATACAGCCATTCTGTTTCTTATTTGGGCCCGAAGTTGCAAAGTCCATGTGGAAAAGATATAGCAATCATGAAGTGCAACATTTCAACGTTTTCATGTGCATTTCTAGTTTGTGCTTTAGCTTCAATAAAAAATTGTTTATACAAAAGGGGAGTTGGGTGGAACAGAAATAGAGTATAGAGGGAGGCACTGTAACTGAACCCAATGTCCACCCATTGCTACAGCACGTGTGGTCAGGAGGTCCTAGAGACATTCCTTAAAACAAGCAGTCCTGGGGCAACTGGGTAGGTCAGGTCATGATCCCAGGGTCCTGGCATCAAGCCCCGCATCGGGCTCCCTGCTCAGCGGGGAGTCCGTTTCTCCCTCTCCCTCTGCCATGTTCTCTTTCTCTCTCTCTCAAATAAATAAATGAAGTCTTTGGGGGAAAAAAAAGAAGAAGAACAAGCAGTCCTGAATGGGGCACTCAAGGCCAACGTGGTGCCCACACAAATGCGTGGGAGACCAAAAAGCAACAGGCTCTCTGTGTATCTTGCTTACTGTACAGTTAACAGAGAGCATGAGACAGCAGGAGTCACATAACCTATGTTCTTAGTAAGAGAGAGTAAAGGAGCTATTCTGTGAAGTATTTATAATGTAGTGGAGGGATATCCCACAATGTTGAGGATTAAACCAGCAATTGAAGTCTCTTCTTGTCTCCCTAGAAGTGAGCCAAAGTGGAAAGCCAGGGCTCAGAGCGTGGAGGTGTTCACCACTCGTAGCGTTACAGATTCAGTCAATGAGTGTGGCCTTGGTGATGGCTCCATAGACTGAATCACTACACGATGCTGTTGTTAAGAGAATCACAACTTTTCCCTTCCAGACTCCTTCCTGTCAGTTGTATCTGCTTATAACCTGAATGCTGCCTGGGCGGGGACTGCTCCTCAGAGGACGAAGGAACCTGGCTGCCTTGACTGGGAAAGACCACCCCTTATTTTCCCAGGGCTCTGGCTTGGCCTTCTTAGGAATAAATTTGGGTTGTAGTCTCTCAGGGGGTAAAGGTGGTGGGTAGCCCTCAGAACCACTGCTGCTAATGATTCTGACCTCATTTAACTTAACTGGGAGTGGGAAGATCCTGGGCCAGAGGAGAACTAAGTATTTTCCCACAGAGTGATCATCATAAGGCCCTGGGCAGATGTTACCTACACAGAAACGTGTTCTACGGGGAGGGTCATGGTCTGAAGTGACATGGCCGCCACCAAATGAGTAACCCCAAGAGCCCCATGTTGGCAGCCTAATGGTCCACACTCAAGGCTGAGCCCTAAGCCAGACAGCTACACTTCCAGGTTCTTCTCTCACCCAGGAAGCTTCTAAAAATGCCAGAAAGTGACAGTGACCTTACCCCATGAATACCTCAGAGTATCTCTTATCTTATATTTTAAGGAAATATTTTAAGGAAATACATTTATTTTATTTATTTTAAAATATATTTTAAGGAAAACTTCACTATTTTATTGTTAAAAATAGATGTCTCACGCTACATCTCTCAAGGGAAGTGATAGCCCAGGTCTGAGACCAAAGAGCTGCTTCTACTCAAGATGAATGTGGGAAGCAGGAGGAAGAAACTGGACTTCTACCACCGTAGCCCTGCAGCCCAGGGCAGAGCAGGCCATCCTCACTCCATCAGCTAAGGATTTGTTGCCCAAGAGCCCAGAGGTTGAAGACTGAGGAAGGGCCCAATATGGAAAGGGACCCTCCACCTTGCAGCTCCAAGTGTGGCTTGCATGCCAGTAAGATCGGCAAAATTGGCATCACTTCAACACTAGTTAAAAATGCAAGCTCTTGGGTCTCACCCTGTTCCTGCTGAATCAGAGCCTCCCTGGATTTTAGCAAGTTCCTCCCCTGATTCATGTGCACTTTGAAGTCAGAGAAGCACTGCCCCCATGAGCTGACAAATTACAAATTAGCCTCCACTCAGATGTGTCTCCCTACAACTGTAATAACCCTATGTCAATCAGTTTTCCCGCCTGTATCAAATGCAGCAGAGCAATGTACAGATCGGCCGTGGAGTGAGTCTGCAAACCTTGCCACAGACCCAGGACTTCGCGGAATTAATAAACACGATCTCCGAGACCGACTCAAGTCACCCACACAAAGCAAGTAAGGGAATGGCAGCCTGAGACCCCTTTGCCCTGAGAAGGGGAGCTCGGCTACAAGGAAGGGGACATTCCTTCAAAAGAGAATGATTTGAATATCAAAGAATGAAGACAGGCCCTTGGGAAAAATGAGGAGGCTCGTGACTATCTTTGCCAAAGTGACCCACTTTATGATTGTCCTCTGAAAGCGGAACATTCAATTTTGTTGAGAAACTGTGCTCACAAAGAAAAATCGCCCCTTCTTTCCATCTTCAGTCATTCTCCGAATCTCATCATTCTATTTTCATGATAACCTAAATTGTATTCGGTGAGATAAATTGCCCTTTCCGAAGTTAGTTCCGTTTTTTAAGATAAACCTGGTCACAGCTTGTTGTCACTAGTCCACAGGATGCCAGGCACTGCTGGTACATGGGCTTGGCCCAGGTCACCGCTGCGTATTCCTTCCTCTTTTTCCCTTAGGGGGCTTCTTTCCGGTACCTTATGCCCAGGTGGCACGGCTGATAGGAATTACCACACAGCTTGGCGAAGCTTTCTTGTTTCCTAGTGAAGGTTTCAGGTTATTGTGAGGCCACAGAAAGGGGATCCCCTGTGGGGTTGTCGCTCCAGAGGCAGAACGATTCCTAGTTACCTTATCGACCATGAGGAAGTTCTGCAGCGTCTCTCCATTTTCACAGGTGACATCACCAACCTCTCTGACGGCCTGAGGCAGGATTTCTCGGACCTCCTGAGCAATCATCCCTAGACACAAACACTCCAACACGTTTAGTCAGGAAAAGAGCTTTCTGGAGAAAATCCTCCCAGGTCTACATCAAAATGGACCGCTGACAGCCCCCCAGGACATCTTTGCAAGTAGATGCTTATTATCCCTTTTCAGCTTTTGCTTTGATCTATGATACATTTGAAGCAAAGGAGGAATTTTGAGCCCATAACCACTATAGGATTAAAAGTAGGGGTGTCATTTTCTTCACTTTTCCTTGGGACTCTGGGCCGAATGTTGGGAGGAGTGGGTAAATACCTTAAAATCCCTGTATATAGAAGAAAGAGTGGGGCATTAGCTTGACTTCCTCTTTTCCTGCAGGAGGATTTGCCACCTAAATGGTCCCGGTTTCTTTAGGATTCCTGGGTTGGAGTATAAATACCACTTTGCCCCTTCTCTGACCTAGACCCGCCTACTCAGCCACCTCTCCCTCTCCCAGGTCTGCCCAATGCTGCCCCTCTTACTGTTGGAGCTGCCATCGCCCCCGAGCCCTCATCCTATGAGCAAGATGGCTCCAGTGAAAAACAACGTATTCAACATATTCCACCCGGACGGTGGGTGCAGGACTAGGGGTGGGAATGTCGAGTACAGGTGACACAGACATTTCTCTCACCTTTACAGTCCTGGTGAGTGTGGATCTCACAGAGGAAATCAGTGCCACGGCACACAACCACCAGATAAAGAGGGAATTAAGCTTTCAAGAGTCAACAGCACAAAATTAAAAAGGGACTTTGTGCACCTACCTGTTTGATGGGCGGCGTTTATCCCCATTGAAGACGCGAATTCAGGTCTGTAGTCGTATTCCACGACCCTCATTTGGGTTATCCGTCTTAGCTGTTCATTTGTGTCAACCTAATTTAATTCAGGAAGAGAAGATTTCAGCCACTTAGATACTTCCTGTTTAGATAGGAAATTTGAATTCTCCTTCCGAGAATGGAGACGGATGACTTGGGAGAGAAGCAGTCACTATTCACAAGTGCAAGGGATCATTTCCCGATGACATACAGTACGAACACCAAATAAACACAGGCCAACCTTGTATTTACAAATCAAAAAGGCTTAGTGAAAATAAAAACAAACAAACAAAAAAACCCAAAAAACCTTTAGGAATGGATATATCCTGTATCGTTGAATTCCTTTTGGACACCCTGCTGGAGAAAATTTCCTCAGGTCCCTGTAATGCCCACCTGGGAGGCCTTCTGAGATCCAGACTTTCCTCTCCTGCAGACAGCTTCTCCCCCAGACCACTCTGGGCAGGGAAGGTATATGCTCCTCTGAGTTCACTGCTCTTGAGAGTGACTAAAGGTATTCCCAACTTTCACTGCAAATTCCTCAAAACAATGTCACCTGGTCCCAGCAATATGACAATAGACAATAGGGTGAATTTTTCCTAAAGCCAAATGTGTTTGATTCAAAGGATTCTCTTTTGAGTTTTTTGGTTTTTTTTTTAATGAATTCATGGTACTAGCAGAACCTATTTTTTTTAATGACCTTATTCTTTAAGTAAAATGCTGGCAGCCCTTTTTCTTTCAGGATATAATTTTCTTTTAGGATATAACAATTACAAAACCGGTAGTCTCTTGGCAATTAAAATTATACTGCCTGGACATTCATCCATGTGTTAGAGTAACTGAAATGCTTCATTTTTCTTGTTATATGAAAACCCCTGATATGGCCCTCAACTCCTCCCTTGACCCACTCTGTTGGGTGAGTGGGAAAGCTCCTCCAATATCATTAAAAGCTCCCTGTCCTTCATTAGTTTGGCTAATTATAAAAGGTGGTGGCTTGACACTTAACTGGCTAAATGGGAAAAATTCACTTTAGGTTCTTCTTGGGAAGTATAATTTTGAGTGTGCTGTTATTTTGATACCTGCTATAATCCAAAGCTTGGTTCAATTCATTCACTCATTATTTTATTCAACTAACATTTACTAATTACCTTCAACATACCATGCACTACACTAAGTGTTGGCATTTTTAAAAAATGATTGCCTTTTAAAAGTTTGTGCTCTTCTAATTGTGAGACTGAAACAATAAAGCTCCTAGAAGAGAGCATAGGTAGTACTTTTTCTGACATCAGCCATACCAACATTTTTCTAGATATGTCTCCTAAGGCAAAGGAAACAAAAGCAAAAATAAACTCTTAGGACTATATCAAAATAAAAAGCTTTAGGACAGCAAAGGAAACCATCAACAAAACAAAAAGGCAAGATATTTGAAGATATTTGCAAATGATATATATCTAATAAGGGATTAATATCCAAAATATAAAAGAAGTTATACAAATGAACACCAAAATACAAATAATCTGGTTAAGAATGGGCAGAGGACCTGAAAAGACATTTTCCCAAAGAACACATCTGGATAGCCGACAAACACATGAAAAGATGTTCAATGTCACTAATCAATAGGGAAATGGAAATCAAAACCACAGTGAGATATCACCTTCCTGAATGGCTAGAATCAAGAAGACAAGATATAGCAAGGGTTGGCTAAAATGTGCAGTGTTGGTGGGACTCTAAAATGGTACAACCATTGTGAAAAACAGTATGGTGTTTCCTCAAGATGTTAAAAATAGAAATACCATATGACCAAAAAATTCCACTACTGAGTACCCAAAGAAAATGAAAACACCAATTCACAAAGCACCCTATATTTATTGTAGCATTATTTACAAAAGCCAAGATAAAGAAGCAACTCAAGTGTTCAAGCATAGATGAATGGATAAAGAAGATGTAGTATATTCATATAATGTAATATTACTCAGCCATTAAAAATGTTGCTAAAAAGGCAGAGTCAAACCTATAAATACAGAGAACAAAGTGATGGCTGCCAGAGGGGAGGTGGGGAGGGGATGGGCAAATGGGTGAAGGGAAGTGGGAGATACAGGCTTCCAGTTATGGAATGAAGAAGCCATGGGAAGAAAATGTGTAGCACAGGAAATACAGTCAATGGAGCTGTAACAGCACTGGATGGTGCCTCTACTTGTGCTGGACTTAGCGTATAGAGTTGTTGAATCACTATGTTGCACACGCAAAACTAATGTCACATTATGTGTTGATTGTAATCAAATAAGGAATAAATAAGCAAAATAAAAATTAAGAAATTTTTAAAATAAAGTAAAAATAAATAAATAGGTTTTCTGATTGTCTTGACCTTGTAGCATACTCTTTCTATGGGATTCCACATTCCAAGTTTCCTAAAATTTACACTTATTAAATGAACATTAAAAAAATGTTTGTCGTCTAGACAGGAAGGCAGACTCATCATATATGATTATACTACAATGTGAGAAATGCAGAGTGATAGTGGAATTATGAAAAAAGAGAATTATGGCAGTTCCAAGGAGGTCCCTAAAATATTCCTAGGGGAGCATAAAGGAAGGCTTCCTAGAAATGGTGAAGCCCCACCAACATCTTGCCTTATTTTGCTTCTCAAACAAATTCTGCTCCTTTCACTTCTGGCCCTTGGCTTGGGGCATTTTCCCTGCCTCAAAATCTCTTCCTTTCCACTCCTACCTTCTCCCCCAACATAAACATCCCTTCACCAAGGAAGCACTTCTTGATTTCCAATACTAGAAAGGGTCCCTTTGCCTTCTGTGCTAACAGGAGCTGCTGTTTTCCTGCATAGCACTGATCAAAGTTATCACCAGGCTACTAGCTGTGTCACCCTTATTACCTGTCTTCCCTATAGGATATATACCCCATGAGGGACAAGACATATTTAAGGCCATGGTTTTCTGTTCATCACCATATTACCAGTTTCTCTTATTTCTCTTTCTCTCCCTCTCCCTCTTTCTTTCTTTTTCTCTTTCTTTCTTTCTCTCTCTTTCTTTCTTTCTTTCCTTATTTTTCTTTTTCTTTCTTCCTTTCTTTCTTTTTTAAGATTTTATTTATTTGACAGAGAGACAGACAGAGAAAGAGAGACTACAAGCAGGGGGAGAGGGAGAGGGAGAAGCAGGCTTCCCACTGAGCAGAGTCCAACGCGGAGCTCGATCCCAGGACCCCAGGATCATGACCTGACCCAAAGGCAGACACTTGAAGACTGAGCCACCCAGGCGCCCCATATTACCAGTTTCCAGTACAATCTGTTGCATGTAGTTGATGTTCAACTACATTTGTTAAATAAATTATTTGATAAATAAGTCTAATAAAAAGGAATTTAAGATAGGAGTTAGGGAAAGAGGCAAGGCAGGGAGAAGGGATGGAAAGGGTGAGACCAAGACAGGGATGCCAGGCAGAAAGAACTCCATGAGCGGAGTCCCAAGGGCAAAGTCGCCAGAATGATGCCTGCACATCGAGGGCAGAGGTGGGCGTTACTACACACCATAAGGATTAAGGCCAGAGCAGGGAAGCCCTTGCCACCATGCTGGGAAGGAGCTCTCACACCGCTAACACTGTAAGCTCCTTCATTCATTCAACAGATATTTACTTTTAAAAAAGATTTTATTTATTTATTTATTTAAGAGAGAGAGTGCAAGGTTGGTGGCAGAGAGGGAGGTGCAGAGGGGGAGGGAGAGGGACAGGTCATTCAGCAAATATTTAAGGAACAGCTACTGTGTGCCCGATGTGTTACCCCAGGCACTGGAGAGTCAATGAGTATTTCCTACTTGGAGTTTAAATTTTAAAAAGTTTTTTAAAAGTTCTATTTTTGAGGATAAAGCCCACAGCTCCTTCATCTCAGGACCTCTGCAGGGCCTAGCAATGTGTCTGATGTGTAGCTGCACCCAAACCCTTCAAGGAAAGAGGGCAGGGGCTGTGCCTTCTGGGAATCCTGCTCCAGGAACCAAACGCTGATCAGCACTTAACAGCACACCTTGCTCATCAACATGTGGTGAGTAAGAAGCTAGAAGCTGAGTTCAGGGGTCTGATTCGATCTTGCTTGCGCGTGGCAGTTTTGGAAAGTTTTGACCCTGAATGCAAATGGCCATCATTGTCTTGGGGCATCACACCCGCGTCACACCCAAGGCTTTTCTGACGTTACTTAAAGAACTGCACCACAGAAAAGGCATTCTTTTCTTTGGGACTCCAGTCTGTTCAGGGAGGGAGATCTCATTATCTGTCATCTGGCCACAGCCCAGCCGCCCAGGCTCCCATCGGGAGCAGCTGGAGTACACCGTCTCACCTCAAGCTACGGAACTCCTGCATCTGGCTCATGGCCTCAAGGGGAGACTTCGCATGGCTGACTTTCTCCAACTCTACATTTTTGTCTCTACCACACGGCTGATGCGTTTGGGGAAAACATTCTCGGAGCATTTCATCTTAACTGATTTCTTTCCTGGCTTTTATTTTTGAATCGTTCACAGCCTTGTTTTCAGCAGTCATCACAGAATTTGACTGATGCATTCAACTTTCAACTTCCTCACTTTTTGTCAGGCATTGACCTTGACGTTTTTCACATTTTTTCACGTTCCTTTGTTTTTCAGCATATTGGCTCCACCCTGATTTCGCTGTTTCTGTTCTAAGAGCTGCATTTCCTTCTATAGTCCATAGTCCCATCAGGAAACACAATGTCTGGGTAAGTGAAGCTGCTCCCCACTTAGGCCGACCTCATTTTCTCAGTCCTTCCACATCACAGGTTTCCATCACATCTGCTGTATCGTCTCTCTCTTGGCTGTGTGTCCAGATGAGCGCAGAGATCTCCAGAGGAGGCGCAGAGCAGGGCAAGGCAGCAACTTCTGTTCATTTTTCCCGATTGCTGCCCTGGGCAATGTGTGTGGCCACTGAGTTTTGCAACAGCTCATCCAGAAGCCAGCTCTGGTGACCGTGTACCCTTAAAGGATGAGAAATTGCCTCCAGTCCTGGGCTTGTAATCAGATCAACCCAGGGTCCACTTCTCAGAATGGAATGGCTGTTTTTAAAAGTTGGAAAAACTGAGTCGGGGGAAGTGAGGATGAAGTTCACATATCTGTCAGCCCCATCGTCATTACCATCATCTCTCTTGCCTGGAATGGTGAATAGGATTGATAAGTGTGGTGTCTCTCCCAATCATACGGGAGCCCCCAAATGTAGGGCAACCCAACTGAGTGGAAGCTAGCAGCATGGACAGCGAAAGGATTCATCCGAAGCAGAAGAAAGGTGGTAGAAATTTACCGAACACACCACAAGGGAGTTGCAGGCAAGACAGGGAGGGACAGGCTGTCTGCCACGAGGCAGTGGGTGGGGGCCATATTTAAAGGGGGAAGGTGAAGAGGTATGGTGACGTATGGAATCTTCCCTTTTCTAGTGACTGCACCTGGTTGTAAGCAGCCCATTGGTCAGTGAGGGGCTGTGGATATTTTGAGTATTTTGAGGAAGGTCCCCTGATGGGCCCGTCCATATTCAGCCACGGGGCAATTCAGGCCCTCTCTGCATTCCATTGCTCAAAACTGTGTGCCTAAAAGTGGCCTCTAGGGTAAGATTTCTAGAAAGCTACATTTTATAAATGTGGATAGACCTATTAAGAACAAATATATTAATAGGAAATAATTTAATAAATGACTTACATATCATTTGCATCTTATACAAGTAAAAAATGTTAATATCTATCTGTACAGCTAAAGAATGCTTCATGTGTGTGAGCTAAGATGTGCTTTAACACAAGTAAATTGAATATGAGCTCTCCCTGTTCACAGGAGAATCAACAGAGGCATAGAACATGTCTGTGCCAAGGTTCCTGGGCCAGTGGTTGCCAGAATCAGGACTAAAACTCTGGCCTTCCTCCAGAGCATGGGCTTCTCTTTATCCCATCATGTTGCCACAAAGCAGGATGGGAATACAGGAATTCCACATTTACAGCCCGGACTGGGGTGACATTTTATTTATGTGAGAAGGCTGTCTAGAAGAGGTTTGAGAAGTTCTAGGGAAGCTGGTTATGTTAAAACAGCATGTTTTCTTCAAACCAAGATGTTTGGTAAGTGAATTCTGGGTGGTGGCCTGGTAATAGCAGGAGGGGTTGTGGGGTCTTCCCCACTTGTCATCTTCCATTTGCATTTAGATAAGACCTGGCAGGGAATTGTAAAGCCCATTGCAAAATTAAGTTTGAGTTGGTGTGATCTGAAACGCAGACAGTTTATCTGTCTCTAAAAGTCAAAAGCACAATATCTAGGACTGGGATCGGGAAATGTATGTGAGAACTTTCTAGCCCTAAGAGTTCCCATCCGGCAGTAGGTCACAGCTCTTCTAACATGAACCACAGCTTTGCAATCAGAATAAAAGTCTACAATTACAACCATTCTTTGGAATCCACTCAGCAAAGGAGGACATTCCTTGGCCAGTTTAGAAAAACCAGTGCACATTTGCACTGGGAAAGGAATGCAGTCTGGAAGACTGGCCAATGATTTACAGATTGTGTCTCCTACTAACTAAAAAAAGACTAAGGAAAGGAGGTTCAAAAACACAATTCTGCCATAGCCAGCCTCAAACATGCTTAGCGGAGAAGCAGGGCGTGTGAGACGGTGGGGACGTGGTAGAAGCAGTGAAGGAGAAACAGAATTCAGTGGTGGGCGAGCTAGAACTGAGTGTGGTCTGGCTAAGGGATAAGCATCTTAATCCTAATCTCTTGGGTTTTCACAGCAGTTGTGGCTTTCCAAGATGATCCTTATCTCAACACGTTAAAAAACTATAAAAGACGGTAGGATCCAGCGGAGTGGCTCCATTTCCACCTTCTAGATGAAGGCAGTGTGTTTGGGCGGAGCTGTCTTATAGGGCCATGTTGCTGGGATGAGCCCAAAGTCGAGAAGCACCTCCCGATTTCCCAGCCTGATTTCTGATTTCCACGAGGCAACTCCCTCTCCACGGATAGGAGAAGGTCTGGGCCTGGAGCCTTAGGTGATGGGATTGACCTAGTTGGAGGGAAGAAGGGGAGGAGGAGTTCCTCTAACGGCAACTCAGAGAAAGACTCGAGTAGGGAAGACGATGGCTGCCAGGGACTCTGGGAGGAAGAGGCTGGGAGGCTCAGGAGAAATCTGGGCAGGAACTGGACTGAGACAGTGTCTGGAAGATGAACATGGAGATGGACATCTGGAGATGGCAAAGGAAAAGGCAAGCTCCAGCAGCTGACAGTGCATGGTAGGAAGGGCAGTGGCCCATGGCCAGTAACTCAGAGACGTCCTGCTTGTGAAGCCCCGCCAGGCTGTCATTGCCCACCGCTCCTGTCAGGTGGGCTCCATTCTCCTGGGTAGGAAGCACGTTCCAGTCCCAGCAGAAATGCCTGTCAGCTCCCACACTCACAACTGTTAAGCCCTGTGTTCGTCTCACACCAACGGGAGACATGTAGAGATGCCCTTTGCAAGGAGTGTCAGCGTCCAGGAGCTCCCGGCTCATTTGCCTCAGGTGTCTGAGGAGGTGCCCGAGGCCAGCCCCGTGCTCACCTCCTGGATGTTCTGTTTCGCGCGGCTGTCAGAGGGATGCATAATCGTCCCCATCACCTTCATGTTGCCACAGACGACCAGGGCTTCATCTGGGGCGTCTGTATTTATTCCCACTCGACTATGACAAATGACAGATTCTGGAACTTGTCCTCGCTGCCATAATGCATCACTGTCATTTTCAAACTGCCCTGGGTTAGAGGCCTGGAAAAAATACATAAATATGTTACAATTAAAGTTAGAGTAGCGGGAATAGATGATTGCTTTATTCCTCAAAGCAAAGGAAGACAGAACGTTATCTAAGTCTTTCACCTGAGAACCCTACGTTGGGTGGGATCCTGACATATCCAAACAACTGTGGCCCCAGGAGAGCCAGGAGGGCCCCCCGACTTCTCGGCTCCCCTCGAGCAGGAGCTCAGAATGCCATGGCTTGGGATGTCCAGGCTCTATTGCAACTATCTGGAAATGAGAATGTGTCAGTTACAGTGCGTGGATGATAAGGAAGAAGGGAACCCCAAATGACCTTCTTTTCAGTGATAATAAGAAAAATGATTTAAAACCAGAACCTTACATCAGAAGACATTCTAAGCTTAGGAAAGTCCAGATACATAAAAATAGTTTGCATTTAGCTAACCCTTTTATAGCTTCAAAACACTTTACTATTTATGATTTCATACTCAATTGACAAGCAAACAATAGTACAAGTATATTTAATACACCTCAACTATTCCCTAAACACAGATGACACAGAAGGAAGAATGACAACAGCTACATTTGTTTGAGCTAGTCCACACCCCCATTCTATGAGATCTGTACCATCAGCCTCATTTTGCAGTTATCCAGAAGCCTCAGAAAAGAGCAACAAATTGCCCAAGGCCACAAAGCTCATAAATTCTGGAGCTGGACTTATAGCTCCTTTAATCATTAAAGAATGAGTCTAACTTTTCCTATTAGAAGTAACCCTGGTGGAGGGCACCTGGGTGGCTCAGTCAGTTAAGCATCTGCCTTCAGCTCAGATCATGATTCCAGGGTCCTGGGATTGAGCCTGGTGTCTGGCTCCTTGCTCAGCAGGGTTTCTGCTTCTCTCTTCTTCTCCCTCTGCTTGCTCTCTCTCAAATAAATAAACTAAAATAAAATATAACCCAGACCAAATGCAGTCTTCAAAGAGAATCCAAGTGAAACCATGAGAACCAGACAAAGTTCTGGAGGTTTTACTCTTAACTAAAATTCTCTGCTGAAGAATTTTTCACTCTATTGGCTTCCTTCATCCCCACCTCCTGTGGCTGCTGAATATATTTCCAAATATCTTTAAGTAAGGATCTCTGAATCCCTCCAAATCCTCACAAAAAAATTAATTTGTTTTTAAAATTATGACCTATTGTTCTAAATCTGATTTTTCTGTGTTTGGGGTAAGCTGTCACAAATTCAGACAAACACTATAGACCCTGACCATCTAAAAGGTTAACACTCTCGCAATGTCTTCACACTACCTTTCTGGATAGTGCAGGAGACATTGTGAACTCAGGACCTGAATATGCATAGATTAACTCTGGAGAATACTCAAGACACCAATAGCAATGGTTTCTTCAAGAACAGGAACCGGGAGATGTAGAAATTGGGCTGGGAAGCAGATTCACTACTTAACATACCCACTTTGTATTGTTGGGATGTTTTTACCATAAGCATGTGCTACCCATTTCAAAATAATAATTTAAAAAAAACCCACAAAGTTTATTTCTTAGCTTAGGTTCAGTGAAAGAACTTTTAGGTGTCTTCAACTTTTTCACTCTTGCCTATTTGAACCCCGAACTGCTTAGAAGACTCAACCTTTGACATTTGATAGACAAAAGCAGTGAAAGAATAGAAAGTAACGACTTTGAACATTGTTTTGTGTGAATTCACTTAAACAAAGTGCTTTGATACAAGGTCCCCAGAGTCCCCTCGAGTGAATGGCAAATTTGCTTTGACTCAAATCCTTTTATTGCAAGCAATCAACTAAATCCAAAGGTATACCATATAAATGCTGATGCATTTTGCTCTACTCTGAACATAATGAGCCACTTCAAGGAAACAAAACAGACAGTGATGGATTTTTTTTCTTAATGAGCTTTGGGATAATTATTATCATAAACTTCATATCACGTTAAACAGCAGATGTAACTAGACTTACTTTTTTGGAACAATTACAACAATCTCACATAGCTTTCACCAGATGAAAACTCAGATCCCTAAAATACGTTCAAGTCATCTTGGAAAGGGCCACAGATCTGCAATTTTTTTTTTTTAAAGATTTTATTTATTTGACAGAGAGAGAGAGAGAGAGAGAGGAGGAAGCAGGCTCCCTGCCTAGCAGAGAGCCTGATGTGGGACTCGATCCCAGAACCCTGAGATCAGGACCTGAGCTGAAGGCAGAGGTTTAACCCACTGAGCCACCCAGGCAGCCCCAGATCTGCAATTTTTTAAAATGTATAGACCTATGGAGGTGTCTGTCTCATCAGTAATGGGAAATGTTATAAAGTCTCTGAACTTTTTTCCCTTCTCTGGTATCCACAATCTTAATGGGTCAAAGCAAACTGTAATGTACTATCTCTTTCTGGAATTATGAAGTGGTGTTCCCATGTGGTCCAAGAGTGGTTCATTGATATCAAACCTCAAAATGAATTAAAATCTCTAAAATACTTTCATTATTTATCCCACAGCCCTATATACTTAGGGAAGACCTGAACGGTTTAATCTGTGTTATGACACAAACTGGCTGTGTGATCTTGGGGCAGTCACTTAACGTTTCTGTACCAGCTTTTCTTCTTTGAAGCTTAAAAATAATAATGACTTCTTGACTATCTCATAGTGTTATGGGAACTTACTGAAACCATGTATATATGAATACTTTGCAAAAATGAGGATGATAGTCTCAAACTGTCCTTAGCACACTGCTGTGCATGCAACTACCGTCCAACGGACATATTTCCTTTTATTGAGCTTTACTTTACTGTACTTCGCAAATAGTACTTTTTTTTTTTTTAACGAATTGCAGGTTTGTAGCAAGACTGCATTGAGCAAGTCTGTCTGTACCACCAACTACTGATGCCACAGCATCTGCTCATCTCACGTCTCTGCCACAAATTTGGTAATTCTCACAGTATTTCAGACTTTTTCATTATTACATTTGTTGTGGTAATCTGTGATCAGTGATCTTTGATGTTATCATCATAATTTGCAGAGCCACAAACCATGCCCATGTAAGATGGCAGAACTTCATCAATAAATGGTCTGCGTATTAGTCTAACTGTTCCACCAATGAGCCATTTCCCCACCTCTCTCTCTCCTGGGGCCTCACTATTCTTTGAGACCAACAACATTAAAATTAAGCCAATTAACAACCTTATAATGGCATCTCAGTACTGAAGTGAGAGGAAGAGACACATGTCTCTCACTTTAAATCAAAGGCTGGAAAGGATGAGGCTTAGTGAGAAAGGCACGTTGAAAGTCGAGACAGGCCAAAAGCTGGGCCTCTTGTGCCAGACAGCCAAGTTGTGAAGGCCAAGGACATTAAAAGTGCTTCTCCAGAGAACACACAAATGGTAGGAAAGTGACCCAGCCTTACTGCTAACATGGAGAAAGTTTGAATGGTATGGACAGAAGATCAAACCAACCACCACATTGCCTTCAGCCAGAGCCTTCTCCAGAGGAGGGCCCTCCCTCTCTTCAATTCCATGAAGCCTGAGAGGTAAGGGAACTGCAGAAGAAAAGTCTGAAACTAGCAGGGTTCATGAGGTTTAAGGAAAAATGTCATATGTATAACACGAAAGGGCAAGGTGAAGCAGCAAGGGCTTCTGTAGAAGCTTCTGGAGTTATCCAGAAGCTCTAGATCAACCATGAAGGTGGCTACACTAAACAACAGATTTTTTTAAAAGATTTATTTATTTATTTATCTATTTGAGAGAGCACGAGAGAGAGACCTGAGCCAAAATCAAGAGTTAGATACTTAACTGACTGAGTCACTCAGGCACCCTAAACGACAGATTTTTTAATGTAGATGAAACAGGGTTCTATTGGAAGAGGAAGCCATCTAGAACTTTCATACCTAGACAGAAGTCAATGCCTGGCTTCAAAGCTTCAAAGGACAGGCTGACTCTAAGTTGAAGTCAGTGTTCACAGACCGTTCTGAAAAGCTTCAGGCCCTTAAGAATTTATGCTAAATCTAGTCTGCCTGGGCTCTGTAAATGGAACAAAACCTAGATGATAGCATATCTGTTTATAACATGGTTTATTCAATGTTTTAAGTCCGCTGTTAAGACTTACAACTCAGGAAAGATTTCTTTCAAAATATGACTGTTCAGAGCACCTGGGCAGCTCAGTCAGCTAAGCATCCAATTCCTGATTTCGGCTCAGGACGTGATCTCAGGGTCTGGAGATTGATCTCCACACTCAGCAGGGAATCTGCTTGAGAGTCTCTCTGTCCCTTTCCTTCTACCCCTCCTTCCCCCTGCACTCTCTTTCCTTCTCTCAAATAAATATATATATTTTTAAACTACAGATTTATTTATTTGTCAGAGAGAGAGGGAACGACAGAGAGAAAGAGAGAGCACGAATAGGAGGAGTGGACGGCAGAGGCAGAAGCAGAAGCAGGTTCTCCACTGAGCAAGGAGCCCAATGAGGGACTTGAACCCAGGACCCTGGGATCATGACTTGAGCTGAAGGCAGATGCTTAACCAACTAAGCCACCCAGCTGTCCCTCAAATAAATCTTTTTAAAATAAAAAATTCTCCTGCATCTTAAAAAAAATTTATACACACACACACACATATATAAAACTGCTCATTGATAACACACCCGGTCACCCAAGAGGTCTGATGGAGATGTACAATGAGATTAATGTTGCTTTCATGCCTGTTCACACAACATCTGTTCTACAGCCTGTGGATCAAGGAGTCATTTTGGCTTTCAAGTCTTATTATTTAAGAAATATGTTTCATAAGGCTATAGCTGCCATCGACAGTGATTTCTCTGATGGATCTGGGCAAATTAAGCTGAAAACCTGTAAAGGATTTAGCATTCTAGATGTCATTAAGAACATTCCTGATTTGTGGGAAAAGGTGGGAAAATCCACACTAACAGGAGTTTGGAAGAAGTTGATTCCAACCCTCATAGAGGACTTCGAGAGGTTCAAGGCTTTAGCAGAGGGAGAAAACTGCAGATGTGGTGGAAATAGGAAGAGAACTACCATCAGAAGTGGAACCTGAAGATGGGACTGAATTGCTACCATCTTACGGAAAAACTTTCATGGATGAGGACTTGTTTCTTAGGGATGATCAGAGGAAGTGGTTTCTTGAGATAGAATCTACTCCTGTTAAAAGATTCCGTGAAGACTGTTGCAGTGAGAGCAAAGGATTTAAAATAGGACATCAACTTAGTTGATGAAACAAATGAAGTTCGACTTGCTTTGTTGCGGTGGTCTGGAATCGAACCTACAGTGTCTCCCAAATCGGCCTGTAATCATTTAATCTGCTCTCATCACCAACACACCTAGAGAGATGCACGAATTCTGTGAGGGAAGCTCCATTCGCTGAGTAAAGTGTAAAGTGTAAAGTAAAGCCCTCTGCAGGTGCTTGGAAAAGGAAACAGCAATGAATAGTAGTAACTCGAGGCCATTCTAAGTTTGGAATGGAAAGCTGGAATTTCTTTGCTTCACCGTTGTTGGGCTTCTAAAGCAGCAAAGAGCATACTAGGAAAGCTTGAGTTGAGGAAGACAATTCATAGCAAATAAATCTTTGTTCCTGTTGTTCCTAGAAATTCTCCCTATCAGTGCTACTCCAAGTGTGGTCTGAAGGTCAGCAGCCTCTCCTGGAAACTTGTTCGAGATGTATATCTAAACTATTGAATCAGAAGCTGTGGAGGGAAGACCCAGGAATCTCTGTTTTACTCTCCGGGGGATTCTTTGTCCCATATATTCCTGGTCAAGTTACCCCTTTCAGAGTTAACAAAAGTTGAATCCAAACCACGGGGTGAAATGGACATTGCTCCACATACTGATTGCTTTGGGTAAATAAAAATTCATCTGAACTCCAGAAGACAGATGTGTGTGGCGGGGGAGTGGGGGGGTGAGGCAAGGGAGGTTTGTGGAAAAGGGCAAGCTGGGCCCTGGGATGGCTCTGCTCTATGCGCATCCCTCCCCATCCTTGCAGCTGTATAATTTCTTTTGCTTTCCCTGTCCTTGTTTGTTGGTTTCTCATTAGGACAGTGCAGTTTGCAGGGCAGTAAGGGGGCATTTCTTGGGGACATGCACGTTTTTATTCTTCTGGAAAAGAAACTGGAATAATGTATTCGTTTTCAAAACTAGGAAACCCCGGCGCGTCTTTGAAAGGCAGACAAAAGTAATCATCCCTCCTGCTTACAACACAGCACTCCAAACCAGGTTTAATTATGTGTTTTAGAAGGAAAGTGGAGCCGAATGAAAACCTAGTCATTAACAAAGAGAATCTGAAGGAACTCCATGGCAGAATGCTCCCCAAAACAAAAGACCTGGGAAATAAATCTGTCTTTGGAGTAAACCTTAATTTCCATGAAATTGATCAATCTACACGACAGGACCATAATATATTTCTAAAGCTGTTTTGATTGACAACCCAGATGAACCATTCCTGGGTCTTGCCCATCATACCCTCCCTAAGGAGAATTCTGACAAGCTTGGTCTCTGAAGCCTTCCTGGAAGCTGGAAACTCATCTAGTCCACGCCTCCTACATTTGCCCTTACATTAATCTCAGCTCTTGGGAGGAATGATTCTTAGGCCTCAAAATTAACCTGCATTTGCTCAGTGCAATTTGCAGTTCTCCGTATAACGCAGTCTGCTCTTATAACATTGTTCAGTTGTCAAATTTTTCTCCCTTTATTCTGGAGCTCAAAAAAACAGACCCAGGCTATGGCCTAAGAGGTCACATCTGGCTTTTTGGGAGAATGTGAGCTGGTCTGCCCTCTGTCCGACCATAGATACGCGTCCAAGGCATATACCTACAGAATCTTAGGGGCAGGAAATGTGTCATGTGAACGTTTCAAAAACTCCCTGATTCAAACAACATCACCATATCGGAAGCTCGGTTTTTTTCTCTTGGTTGGTTTAAACGTTAATTAAATAGATTCAAAACTACATTCATTTTCACTTCTGCATTTGGGGTTAGATCGAAATAGTATCAAAGAGATATTTCTAGTTTGGGGGAGGGGTAGAATGATTTACCGTATTACCATTCTCCCTCTTCTCGTTGTTGCTAGAGTAACCCCTGTATGACCAGCATACTTCTAGAATAGGGCATTCTCTTTACCCAAAACTTATGGCTAGAAGACAGCAATCAAATCTGGAAAGCAATCACTTTTATAAAATAAAAATTTGGTGACTAACATGACACCCAATCTATACTAAGTATAATTTAATATTTTTTAGTATTCATTCCAAATATGAATTGTAGGAACACTCAACTTTTCAAAGTGATCTTGAGTTAAATTATCATGGCATTTTGGATAGGAGGAGGCACCAGTGAATAGAGTTCTGGTAACAGAATACGAGACAGTAGCGCTCTCTCACGTTGCTGCCTTGCGGACTTCACCACAGCCAGAGAACAGAGCTGGCAGCAGGAAATGGAGAAACCAAACACCTTGTACATTATTCAAGGTACAGGGGTGACTAGCAGGCTGCCTGACTCAGGCATGCGTTTCCTAGCTCAAAGCTGCACTTTCGTAATATCTAACCTATGCTAACTCTGAAAAGAATGGTTTTTCCTGTGAAAAACCAGAAGCAATAAGTGACCCAGGCTTCCAGACCCTACTTTAAATCATGTTTGTTAGGGCAACACCACAATCCCAGAGGTCATTAGGCGAGATGTCCAAGACCGCCCTGTAGCCCGCTGCGGGTGGAGAACCGCTGCCCTTGGCCCATGACCCAGGAAGAGGGCCCCACCTGCCTTTGCTTGAATGGCACTCTGTTAGCCACAGATTGGATCAGGTCCCACAAAAATGGCAGGGACAAAGCCTAGCCCTGGGACATCTGAACACGAGTGTTTTACCTCATTTCCATTGTTATTTCACCTCCACTGAAACTTGTTTAAGGATTTCCACTTACAAGTGGCTTCCTATTTTTAACTGATTAAAAGAATTACACAGAGGGCCCTGTGTTTCAGAATGGCTCAACCCAAGAAAGGAAAGACTCCTCTCGCCAAAGAGGCAGATCTGGTCCACAGGCCAAAGAGTAACAGCCACAGAAGTTGCTGTACTCAATGATTTTTCCTGTTGGACTTTACATGTCCTCCCCGTGGCACAACACAGCCCTTCCTCGGCTGCCAGGCCTGTGGTGACCCGTTACCTTAAGCCCCCAGTATTCTCAGCGGTGGCCAGCCAGGCCTCACACAGCTGCAGCTCCAGCTGCCAACAGCTTTCTGTTTCTGTGGCTGCCAAGATTCCTGTCCACAGCTGTGACCAATCATTCACTCAGCAAGATGTGCTGAACCGTTACCATGTGGTAGGCAGGGGCCCAGATGTTCCCTGGGTCACCAGTCACATTGGGGTATGAAATGCCGTCTTTCTACTTTCGGGATCAGAGAAAGCCCCGTCATTCACAAACCAGGTGATCACCAGGAGTTTCCTGGCCTCTTGAGCCTCAGCCCCTCTGTGTGCAAAGAAGCTAACATAAACGTGACGCAGTATACAATGGTGTCACATGTAAATTAGCCCAGTGCCGGGACCAGTTTCTCAACTGCAGCACTACTGAAATTTTGGAAGGGGGATCTCGTTCATTGTAAGGTCCTAAGCAGCATCCCCAGCCTGGACCCACTATAGGCCAGTAGCACCCCTAACTGTGACAACCAAAAAATGTTGGCACACATTGCCATATGACCTTTGAGGGACAAAAGTTCTGGCTGAGAACCATTACACGGAAATGAAAATAATAAAGCCTGCCTTTACTATGATCCATTGAGAAACAGCTCACTTCGAGCATGCCACTGAAAAGTAAATTCAAAATTTTTTAAAAAAAATTTTAAAAAAAGAAAAGAAAATGCAAATTCTCCTTGAGAGGAGAAAAGCAGGTGGGCTCCGAAACGTGAAGGAACTGAAGCTTACCCTTACAATGATCCGTTCAGAGATGTGGGCAGACAGTAGGTAGAACTGGTCTTGGTGCGCAGCATACAGCCCAACCACCAGCATGAAGTATCTACCTCAGAAACAGCAGATAACACGTCAGGAAAGAGAAACAGAATTTGTGCCATCAAACACCACCCGATGCTTAATAGTGAATTTACCTAGATAGCTTTGCATGTTTAAAGACTTTCTATTCTGTTCTAAGTTGCCCTTCCTATGAAATCAAAGAGCAGTTGATTCACTCAATATTGTTGTGGGCTCTGCCCGCTCTGGGGTATCTGTGAGCTGTTCCAGAAGCCCACAGCATAGCACTGCTCACAGGCAGACACACAACAGACGGCCACCTAAGAGGTCCCTCTGCCCAGAGCCGCCCAAGCTATGTACCCATTCCCAGCAGGGCCCTTCCTTCCCACACTCTCTGCTCTTGGTCAGGTCCCCTGTCTACCCCCCATTCAAGACCTTACTCAAAGACCTCAACCCTTCCCTCCAATTACTCCCAGTGCAATTTTCATCAACGTTACTTCTGTTATTTCTTCCTGTGTAATACTGATGTGGCATTTTTAAGATCAGATCATTTCTTGAAAGTCAAAATAAAACTATCCCTCTGAGAGAAGCTTTGGCTTTAAGAACTGGATGCAAAAACCTTGCCTCCTTCTTCTTTAACTCCACAGATGTCTGACCTTCAAAGAATAATAGTTTTCTCCCGTATTGAAAAAAGCACTAATAGTAAAATAATTGTTATTTTCATTATAATCATTAGCCATCATCTGAGTCCTCAAAATGTGCAATATGCTTGGTTTAGCAGTTTATCTACAGTATCTCACTTAGAACCCCAAGAACAACCCGACTGGAGAAGGATATAAACATTGTCCCCATTTTACAGGATGGATTAAGTTACATGCTCGAGGTCACCCAGGTAGTATATGGCAGTATCAAATTCAAACTCAAGTCTTTCCAACTCCAACACTTATGTACTAAAACCAGTGTTCCGAAATTTGAATATGCATCCAAGTCACCTGGAGGACTGGTTAAAATACAAGTTATTGGGCCCCACCCCAGAGTTTTTGATTCAGTAGGTCTTTGGTGAGGCCTGAGAAATTGTACCTCTAACAAGTGTCCAGGGGACACCATCTCTGTTAGTCTGGGATCACACTAGGAGAACCAGAGACTTAAATCATTAAGGCAAGTTCATTTTTTTTTTTTAAACCAAAAAAAGCGATCGCAGAGCTCCAGGACTCAAGGCTTTATACTGGTGACAAGAACACAGGGCGGTCTGACGGTCCTCAGCCTTTGGACCACAGTGAGGCATAAACGTGTGGTCACTCCAGAGAATCAGGGATGGAATCAAGGCAGATATGAGGCTGGACAGGGGAGCAGGCACTGTAGGGGCTGAGGAGGGACAAGGAAAGATGACTGAGGATAAATGAGATGTGTCAATAAATAGGAAGAGTCCAAGATGAGAGAAAGGGGCCGCGGAGATGGGTGTGCAGGCTGGTCCGGCCAAGAGGATCAGAGGGGCCTCCAGAGGGCACCAGCTGGTCAGACGGAGTCCCCGGCCATGGAGGGGCATACGCACGAATGCCAGTACCTCTGGTCAGGATTTGGTTTTCCCTTCTTCCTCATGTTATTCGCTGTCGTCTCACTAAAGTGTAACCGGCCCAATGTAACTTTGGTGACCTGGTCGGCCAGCAGGTCGATTCTAAAACAAATAGCAGAAATACCAAGACACTGTGAGAGAATATGGACTCTAGATCACCTCTACCTTGTTCTGAGATTCTCAGGTATGTTCAGTCCCCCCATCCCCATCACTCTGAGGAGAACAGTTTACTCCAGACACCGATTTTTAATAAACTTTCTGCAACACGGTCAGAAATGGCTACCAGGGAACAAACTCTTGAAAGGTGAGATATGCTCATTTAGCAGAAGCTCAAGCCTAGAGTTTCTGACTCATAAGAGCATGTGCTCCTCATACCATGTATGGGTTCTTTTAACTCCACAATGGGGAGAGAAGACTTTTCATTTGTGCCTCTGCCATTGTTGCTAGAGCACTTGCGTCCTGACAAGCAATGCCTGTAATTTCCTCATGAATTCCTTGGCATCCCCTTCACATATTTGCCTCCTCCTGGCTTGGCTCCCAAGGAAGACCCCAGACAGCCCGCCCTGGCGAGGGAGAACCAGATGCACCAGGCATCTCGGCGGTATGTTGGTACATGTAGCTCCTGCTTGAGCATCAGGCTGAGCACCTGCCTGATCTCTCCAGGCAGTGGGATCGCCTTCTTTCCAGCGCAGATGGGACTGACTCAGGTTCAAAACACTGAGACGTCTCAACTATATCCCAGCCAAACTGTCAAAAAGCAAATTCCACTCCAAGTCATTCCACAGGGTGAATGCTCACTTTGAACTGCCATATTGCTTTGGACAATGCCAGTCAACTATTTTGGAACCCACTGGGCAGTCAATTCACATAGTTTTAAAAAATAAGAAAAAATGAGTTTTAAGCACAGCATAAAATTAAAAGAAAGGTCTAACCATAATCTATGTCAAGGAAACCAGGTAGTTAGCAAGAGTGTTAAAAATGGTTATAAAGGGGCGCCTGGGTGGCTCAGTGGGTTAAAATGGTTATAAAAATAATGATGACTTGGGGCACCTGGGTGGCATGGTCAGTTAAGCGTCTGACTCTTGGTTTTAGCTAGGTTGTGACCTCAGGGTCCTGGGATTGAGCCCTGAATCGGGCTCCATGCCTGTGGAGTCTGCCTGGGATTCTCTCTCCCTCTCCCTCTGTCCCTCGCCACCCCCACTGTTCCTCTCTCATGAATAAATAAATCTTTTAAAAAATAATAACGATGGGGGTGCCTGGATGGCTCAGTTGGTTAAGCGGCTGCCTTCGGCTCAGGTCATGATTCCAGGGTCCTGGGATCAAGCCCCGCATTGGGATCCCTGCTCAGCAGAGAGTCTGCTTCTCTCTCTTCTTTTGCCAGCCACTCTGCTTACTTGTGCTCTCTCTCTATCTCTCTGTCAATTAAATAAATAAAATCTTAAATAATAATAGTAATAATAATAATGATGACTTAAAATGGAGCTTTCTATAAGAATTTGTTTACAAGTAATTCAATAATTGTTCTTGTTAATAAGCATGTATTTATAATATTAACATATTACTAAGGTAGTTTCTGCAATGGGATTCCTTTTATTTTTTTTTTTTTAGTTACTTTTTTACTGAAGTATAGTTGACGTAAAATGTTACAATAGTTTCAGGCGCATGACATAGTGATTCAACAACTCTATACTTAGGCTATGCTCACCACAAGTGCAGCTCCCATCTGTCACCACACAGCACCATTACAATACCACTGACTTTATTCCCTGTGCTGTACCTTTCATCCCCATGCCTTACTCATCCTATAACTAGAAGTCTCTACCTCCCACTCCCCTCCACCCATTTTACCCATGCCTCAACTCCTCCTCTCTGGCAACCATCAGTTTGTTCTCTATATTAATAGGACTATTTCTGCTTTTTTGGTGTGTGTATTTATTTATTTGTTTCTTTTGTTTTTTAGATTCCACCTATAGGTGACATCATACGGTCGGTGGGATTCATTTTTGCTAAAATAAATTAGGCAACAGGTATTTCTCCCAGTACATTCACAAAGGAATTCAGAAAAGAAATTCTTACTTAACAGGATTGAAAATTTTTTTGCTTCTATCTGCTTGGGATTGTTCAATAGCGATTATTTGATTGGTGGCTTCTACCTGTGGGGAACAACAAAAAGGAAATTAGTTACCAAATACATGAATTAATTTATTAACAAAAACATCCACTAGTAAGTAATGTTCAAGTACTTTAAAAGTTTTCCAAAGCAGGGCACATGGGTGGCTCAGCAGGTTAAAGCCTCTGCCTTCGGCTCAGGTCATGATCTCAGGGTCCTAGGATTGAGCCCCGCATCAGGCTCTCTGCTCTCAGCAGGGAGCCTGCTTCCTCTTCTCTCTCTGCCTGCCTCTCTGCCTACTTGTGATCTCTGTCAAATGAATAAATAAAATCTTAAAAAAAAAAAAAATGTTTTCCAAAGCATCATGACAGGCACTGGGCAGGAGGAACCAGTCACTGAAAAAAATGTATAAGGCAATGACCTCAACCTTAAGGAGCACGCTATTGGTGAGAAAAGAAACAAATACATGTGAAACTAAACAATGAAAACACAAGACAACAGAAAACTGCAGGTGAGCAGTGACTGTGGCGTGAGCTCACAGATAATTAAAACATCAGGAGCAAAACACAGGAGCAAGGCAGCTCCAAGGGAACATGCATCCATCCATTCATTTATTCATTTATTCCGTAGATGCTTGCTGAGCACCTGCTATGCACCAGGCATTGCTTGGGGCGAGAGAGATGAGCAGTGGACAAAATTAACAGAAACCCCAGCCATGCACAGCTAACATTCTAATAAAAAGAAATAACAACAAATAATGAAAACAAATAAAATACAGAAAACAGTATTTTTTCAGTACTTGCTACAAAACTCTTCTTGCTCTGAATGAATAGTGGCAAGGGTATGGTGAGAGCTGTCCTGTCCTATATGGCTTGTGGGTAATAGCATAATAACGTTTTTTCTGAAAAGCAGGTAGGCAACATACACCAAGAGTTTTAATAATGTTTATGCCCTTGATATATAAATTCTTCTGGAATGTATCCTCATGCAAAGACAGGTATACATGGATGTTTACTAAGATTGAAAATAAGCAAAACTTACAATAATGTGGGAATATGGTGCACTTATACAATAGAAATTATGTCATTTTTGTAAATAATATTTTATAGGGTCTTTAATAATATCATGTTATTTTCATAATATACTATTAACAATATGAGATTAATTTTAATAACAGAAAAAATTAGACTACCAAATGGTGGATCCCAAATAGGAATGCATTTTTTCTCTTCTTTACAGTTCCCTATTGTATTCCAAAATTTTCACAATGGATTCATATTACTTCCATAATCAGAAAAATATGCTTTGTTGTTGTTTGTTTATTATCTTTGTTTGCTTTAGTTTTGTTTTTTGGTTTGGTTTGGTTTGGTTTGGTTTGGTTTGGTTTGGTTTAAGAGCTCAGTTTGGAGCAAGAGCAGCTGATGTGCCAATGTGTCAAGCCCTATTTTGGGAGACTCGCTGCCTAAGCTCAGGTTAATAATCAGAATAGTATATGCAGATAATGGATGCTCCTTCCCCTAAATGCTGGATCTGAGGTCTTGCTGGCCACCCAGAAGTCATCCTATCTGCATTCTAAACTCAGCTCTCTCATTTATTTATCTTAGGTGAATTGTCTAACTTTATTGTGACTCAGTCTCCACTCTGTTAAACTGAAAAAGATGGAACATTGACAAGATTAATGGCTCCTCGGCTTTTTAAAGTCGGAGACCTATTGAGAATTTGGCAAAAACTAGGAATCTACTGCCTATGAAAATGCACCAGCATCAAAAATAATAAAATATTACAGTTAGTAAGGAAGTACAAGATTTATATCATGAAAACTATCAAAATGTAGTTTGAAGTGATGCTGTACCAGTTTCTGAGCCAGTTTCAGGCTTCAGAAATTGGTAGCTCCCATTTCCTAGGTCTTGGAACATTTATTCTTAGAAAGTATCCGCCATGCTGTGAGGAAGCACAACCTATCCCATAGAGAGGTCCGCATGAAGGAGAGCCAAGGTCTCGCAGCCACAGTCTCATTTGAGCTCCTGGCCAATGGCCAGCCCAGACGTGACAGACAGATAAAGGAGCCATCTTGGAAATTGGATCCAGGCCCGGCTGAGGTGCCCCAGCTGATGGCTCCTGAAGAGACATGAACTGTGAGAGCCAAGCCCTAACCAACCTGCACATTTGTGACCCAAAGATATGATTGTCATTATTATAAGTTGCTAAGTTTGGGGGGTAGTTGGTTATGCAGCAACAGATACCTGGAACACTTAGTAATACTGGCTTCATTAAATTGAGCTCAATAAAAGACTTACCTTAACCCCAAAAGCTTTCAAGTAAAACATTTCTATTGGCTTTAGGCCCATTTGAGTTTTGACAAATTTTGGACTTCCCCAAACTTGGATGTGGATGGTTATCTGAAAATGGTTCTTCTTTTGGCAAACAAAAGCTTCATCTGCTGGTGAAAAATTAAATCCTTTGTCTGTGACAACTTGATAGCCTATATCGGGTCTATGAAAAGAGGAATCAAGAAACCAATTTAACAAACATTTTCTACACATTTTCTTCCATCACCAATATTAATAGTATAAACATTTCAAGATACACTGTGGAAAGTGACTTTTGTTATATTTAATCAATTTTGTGGATTTTTGCTGAGGAAGTGAAAATGCTATTTCAAAACACAGATGGCTCTCTCACAGCATTTTATCTTCTCACAAGGAAGGAGCACAATTCTTGCCAAATGGAAGCATTGTCTCCTCGGCCTCCCTTTCCCTTTGTGCTTTCTAGAATTCTAATTTGACTCCACCATACATCAGAAAGATGTAGTCTAGAAGTTGAGAAGTCATTGCATTACTCAGACCTGTGAAATATCTGGGATAAAATTCATCTTTTTCTTCCTTTAAAAAAAAATGCTCTAAATGTCATCAGCAACACCTCACTCAAACAGTCCCTCTCCTGAGTGAATATTCAGCCCACATGTGGTTAGAAGAAAAAAGCAGGCTGGCCCAAACTACCAGGAATAGCTTTAAACCAGATCAACCAGAGCCAGTCAGAATACTGACTGAAAACCCATTTTCACCAGAGTTTGGTCATCTCCTTTTTATCCTCCTGATCTGGTAATACCACTGAAAACCTACTATGCTGGTTGCTTCTGCTGGGAACAGAAGTGGTGAGGTGGCTAATCAGATCCTTGCTTTATTTATCCTACCAAATTATTTTCCATATCAAGGCTTTGTGTATCTCGTGTTTAATTAAAGATCTTTAAATGTTAAATAAAACTAAAACACCCCACATGTGTAATATTACTGAGCAGAGAAAAGAATATAGGTGAAACTTTTTTGGTGAGCTTTTCCCATACATGTTGAAGATTTGGAACATGATTTTCAATTCCTCAAGATTCCTAAATGTGGACTTTTCCTCAGGAAAGAAGCTCCTCCTCGGGACAGGAAGCAGAGGAGGGCAGGACTTACTGCTGTGCTAGCTCTCTGCTGCTGTGTGGTGCTGTGCTTCCTGGGATCTCAATTTGGATGGCTGCCATTATAATGAACAACACTGAGTTTCTAAGTTTCTCTCTAATTCCAGAGACAGAAAATATGAATATGAATGAGTCTCTTGGGGAAAAGAGTGTTCATGTTCTTTGCAATTTAAGCACCTTCCCAGTGGATCAAGTCACTGGGTCATTGATTACTCCCAAGTAGCTGATTCGTCAAAGCCTCAACAAATGAAGGATTTGATAAAAACCACATGTCTTATGCCATCTGGAAACTTCATACTGACTTGTATTTCTAGAACAAATCTTCTAATTTACTCATCTAAAGGCTAGATGAATGGAATTGTATAGATTTTACGGCTGAGGATAATAAGAACTGTCTTAATTTGGAAAAAGAGAAATAACTTTTAGTGATCATCCATGTTTCACTATCAAAAACCCTGAAGGAAGGAGGTAAGGTTTACAACTCAGATATGAACACTAGCCTGAAATTTAAAGACAGCTAGAAGTAGAAACTGAATCAACAAACAGCAATCATGCAGTTGAAGATTATTCTGAATCTTAAACACCAATCTCTGGTTATAGAACTCTGTTTACCTAAAAATAGCAATTCGGTTTTTGATATCCAATGTTATAAATAAAGCCAACTAAACCGGCTTTTTAAAAGCTCTTTTAACACAAGTTTTATGTATCACTCAGGAAAAAAAGTTTTCAATTCCCTAACTTTTTGCTTTTAGGTAATTTAAGGAAACAACATTTTTGTGACAAATTAGACATAATAATCTGACACAAGTGATTTTTCTGTCTCAATGATATGAATAATGAAATCAAGACAACCTAAGATCTAATGTAGATTAATATTGTCTTTTTCTTGCACTTAGGAAAAGTGAATTATGTCTAAACATTCAAAATAAATCTGCCTCTATATCTTTAAGCTGATACCATCGTGTTCTCCTTTTTTTTCCAGCTCAGTGGAGCTTAGATTGGCTGTTCAAAAAAATTTTTTTAAATCTACTCAAGTAAGAAGGATAAGTTGCCTCAAAAACTTGATGAAGAGTTTCATACCTGGGTACTCATATTTAAGATAGGATATGGAATACTCCCCAGAAGATAACCAAATAAAGGCTACGACTTAAAACCAAGACATGGGGACCCTCCCTTTCTTTTTCTAATTGTACACAGTGGCAAACACACAAAGTTGTGACATTTCAATGAGGCAACTAGTAATTTGCATCATTCTGCTTCCCATTCGATGCACCAACTCCCAGTTTGTTAAGTCTTTAGAATTTGTTTCAAGGAAAAGATTTCTTCCTTCTAGTTCATTCAACATGTAAGTGCTAGTGATAAGTTTTGCCCTTAAAGAAGCTCTATTTGAATTTGGAAAATGCCATAGAAGACCCTCAAGTTTGTGGATCAACATTTCTCATTTCATATTATATTTATTACTTGAAAGTCTTATACTTTAACCAGTAACATTTTTCAGATTTTTCAAGGGGCCCTTTATAATCTTGAAAATTCTAAAAGAATTTTCAATCTACGTAGATTTTATTTTTTAATAATAGTTTTATTAACATTTAACCTACGTAGATAAATTACACACTAAGGAATAAAGAGAAGGCTCTGAAGATGTTTAAGAGCAATAATATGTAAGTCCACATTTATTTCTTGAAATCATGTCATAAGATTAGGATGAAAATTTTCCAGTTTAAAGATACTGTGTATGGTTTCATTTCAGTCTTTAAACACGAGCCGCCACCAATACCAACAGGATTGCTGCAGTATATATTGATAATGAGCTTGACAATACTGATTCACAGCATAGATATTAGGGGAGGGGGGATGTCACCAGCTAGCCATTTAATGTGGTTCCCAAAATGGTATTCTGTGGAATTTTAAATTAACTGCAGGATTAAATGTTACTGCTTTGGAAAATCCCCATTTTCCAGATTGAAGTCTGAACTGGGTCTATGGTCTGAGAAAGACTCATTCTCCCTCCACCATTTAGTGGGTAAGTTGTAATGAGTTAAAATTACAGTCTGGATTCCAAAAGGCCATAAACCCATGTCCGAGCTATGAACTAGTCAGAATGTGAAACCTAAGGAGTAAGACGCATTTCCTCATGGACCCATCCTATTTGATCAGGGGTGGCTTCAAAGCCCAAATCCTCGGATTTAGTCTTGAGAGTTAGCTCCGCCTTTCCTCCCTCCCTCCCTCGTACACCACCAGGGGGCCCTGGGCCACTTACAGTTTCTCATAATGACCAGTGAATAAACTGTGCCAAGGCACACTCTGGTATGGCTGCCACTTCAGAGAAGGAGAACCCTGGTCCACTGGTGTCATGTTCTGTCCCTCACTGTCGTAGAATAGCACTTCGCTGCTGGAACTCCTACTTGTCACTGCAAAGAAATCGGTGTGTTAGATCCTTCCTCCAAGGCTGTTCTTCCTAGACTCACAGACAGCTGCATGGAGCTAATGAACCGGCCTTGTATAAGGAAGGGTGACCATGTGGGAAGTGACAAGTGGTGGGAGGCAGGAGACATGTGAGTAGCCTTGTTGGGAATTGTGCCCTCAGTGTCCCTCTACCCTCTCTCTTGCATAGCGTCTTCCCACGTGCAGTCAATGTGGTTCCAGTGACGTTCACTCCCAGCCAGAGGAGGGCAGGGGGACCCAGGCTGGCTCAGTTGAAGCCCAGCATTCACTTTTTGCCTCAATAATTGCACCAGGTTGACTCATGGCCCAAGCCAACCCAAGCAGAGTGAATCTCAGCACTTCAGGGGACATGGGTTCAAAGATGCTGCCTCTTTTAAACCCGGGAGCTTTAAACCTGGGAGACACCAACCTGAAGAGCTGCTGGCACCATTTGGCGACATGAAAGAAGAGCCTGTCTGTGAATGAAGCCCGCACAGCAGAAGGCAGAGTTGAGGATGAAGGTCACCCAGTTCTGATGGCGTGATTTGAGTTCTGGGATCCAATCCTAAACTCTTGGGCAACAGGAGGCAATAAATCCTCCGGTTTTGTTTTTTTGTTTGCTTGTTTTTTGCTTAAGGCAGCTTGATGTTTTGGGGTTTGGGGGGTTTTGTCCTTTGTTTCTTTGTTTTTGTTCATTGCAACCAATACATTCTAATCTGTTACAAGTCCCCCAGGGCACTAGCTTTCTGAACTCAGAGGAGCTATTTATTCGCTTAGTGTCTTACTTTCCTCAACAGCAAAATAGAAATTAAAACAGATGTCTTGCCCATCTTGTAACATTGTACAAGCAGAGAGAATATCAGAGTACAAGTGGAAGCACTTTCAGAAGCTAATGCCAAGATAAAGTAGCAGAAAATGTCGTTAAGTATGTAATATTGACTATAGGAAATTGCTACTTTTCTATGTTAAAATAACAGCAATTTCACATGCGCAAGCTACTATTTTTGCATAATCCTTGCAAATTGTCTTAATTTGAGTATGCCTCCAAACCGTGTGATTCAACCTCGGATAATTTTTATGTAAATGCTATTGGTACATTTTCTGTTTCTCTTAACTCCCTCAAGATGACTCCTACCTGGCATCAGGAGTGAAATGTACATGGTGGGTGTTCCCAAGATCAGGTGCAGGCCAAGAGCAACAACACAGAGATAGGAGGGGAGCTCCTGGAGAGCGTGCACTTAGCCCCCAGCTTGGAAACTGCAGGGTTTTCTTCACTTGTCTAACTTCTTTCTCTATACTTCTTCTGAGGGCTTCCTCAAATGAATAAATAGCAGAGCTGCTGCGGGTTGTCTCTGATCTCAAATGTCAAAGGAAATGTGTTTACTTTGGAGTATCCCTATTACACGTCAACTAAGCAAAACATCGATTTTTTTCAGTTTTTGTAAACAATCACTTTGAAAAGATTTCTCAAAATCATGAAAAACTGTTTCCCGGCTTAAAATACAGGAGGTGAGCAATGTAAGGAGCTCTTCATGCTGTCGCTCCTCCAAAAGATAACAGACCTAGAAACTTCTCCAAAACAAACAAACACCTTCCACGGTTCTCCTGCTTATACCAAATTCAGAGAAAGGAAGAAACCAGTTCTCCCACCTTCCCTTCCTCTGTCCTCCCGAGGAGAAAGGATAAAGGAAGTTCCAGAGCTTGAGGTTTGGAATCCATGGTCTGGGCTTGAGTCCCAGCTCTACACTTACTAGCTCTACAATCTAGGGAAACGGTTTCTGGTCTCAGGCCTTCAGTTTCTTCATCTACGAAATGGTGGTAACAGTATGAAACCTCCCAGGGTTGGTGAAGGGATTCTATGAGTGACAAGTGCCTAGCACAGTGTCTGTCACCAGTAAGAGTTTAAACAATGGTGCATTTCATTAATATCGGTGGCACTGTGATCATCATATGACTTGTTTCAGCTCAGGTGACACGGTTTTGTCCAAGAAACCTTGGCAAGTACTTCTGTGCTTGGCCTCCATGGTACCTCTCTCTGATGTGAAATAACTAACACCAAGTGCCTGAGTGGTTATCAGCTAACCTAGGTCCATTCCCACTCACGCATGGTGGCAAGGTCAAGGATAACAGCATTTCCTGCTTTTTCCCATGTTAGCAGCAAAGGGATGGAGCAGCCACTCCAACAGGACTGACATAGCCATGGCTTCCCTGGGAGCTAGATATCAGCTGGTGAGACCCAGAGACCACAGGTCCAGGCTGAAATTTGAGGCACAAGCCTGAACCCCATACTGGAACCTATTACTAGTCATACTGATAATAACATCTACTACTCCTGGGTACTTTATTTTTTATTTTTTTTAAAGATTTTATTTATTTATTTGAGAGAGAGAAAGAAGGAGAAACAGACTCCACACTGAGCAGAGAGTCTGATATGGGACTCGATCCCAGGACCCTGAGATCATAACTGGAGCCAAAGGCAGATGCTTAACAAACTAAGTCACCCAGGTGCTCTCCTGTGTACTTTCTGTAACACAGGCACTGTCCCCAAGTGTATCAAGACACTTGACATAATTTCTCATCAACTCTTCAAGGTAAGGGTGCCTTTTTTCAATAAACTTACTTTTCTGAAGTATAATATACATAAAGAAAAATATACAGAGCACTGGTACACAATTTGATATTTTTAAATAAAATGAATTATACTGGGTAACTCTCACTGGGCCAAGAAATAGGGCATGTCCAGCACTCTAGAAGTTACCCTTCCAGCTACTACTTTCTTCTGCCCAAGACAAATCACTATTCTGAAATCTAAAACCATAGAGGAGTGTAGAGAAGTGGAATTACATGATATGTAGGCTTATGTGTTGGCTTCTTTTGCCCAACATTATGTTTATGAGATTCACTCATTATTATTGCAAATGGCAGTCATTTGTTTATTTCCATTACTGTAGGAATATAACACAATTTGTCCTGCCTTGGACGGTCATTTGGGTTATTTGCAGTTTGTGGTTGTTAAAAGTAACACTGCTATGGAAATTTTTGTGTGTGTCTTTTAGTGGGTGTATTTGCACACTTCTGCTAGGCATATTACCAGCGGTGGAACCACTAGGTCATAGGATGTGCTTTAGTCCATGCAACCACTGATTACAGAGAGGTTATGAGATCAGGATTCCTAATGTCATTTAATAAATGTGGAAATTGGGGTTTGACCACCTGAAATAACTTGCTCAGTGTCACAGCTGTCAAGTGGGAGAGACAGGGTTCAAACCCTCCTCTTCCCTTCGTGCTACACTGAGGATGTCTTGAGAACATGTAGCAGAAGAGGAATGCAAGTGTGAAAGCAGCAAACTGACCAAGTTCCCACCTTTCAGAAAAACTTATAGCTTGCATTTTAACGCCTTTCAAAATATTCTTTTATACATTACTTTTAAAAAATCTTAGATGGGGTGCCTGGGTGACTCAGTGGTTTAAAACCTCTGCCTTCAGCTCAGGTCATGATCTTAGAGTCCTGGGATCAAACCCGATATGGGGCTCTCTGCTCAGCGGGGAGTCTGCTTCCCCCACCCCACCCCCTGCCTGCCTCTCTACTTGTGATCTCTCTCTCTCTGTCAAATAAATAAATAAAATCTTTTTAAATAAATAAATACATAAAAAATCTTAGAAATGGGTGAAGTAGAAATTATGATTCTTGTTTGATAATCGAGAGAAGTCAGTCTCAGGGCGCCTGGATGACACAGTCAGTTAAACATCTAACTCTTGGTTTCAGCTCAGGTGGTGACCTCAGGGTCCTGAGATTCAGCCACTCGGGGCGTGGTTTCTTCTTGTCCCTCTCCCTCCCTTTCTGCCCACCCCCACCTGCCCCACCTCCCGGTGCTCGCTCTCTCACTCTCAATTTTTCTGAAATAAATAAATAAATCTTAAAAAAAAAAAAAAAAGTCTCACAAAGTACCTACTTGCTGAGATGAGACAGACAATTTTTCTGACTTTACAGTGTGAACTCAGCCAGGGCGCCTCTCCTGCAGGCCAAAGACCACCACTCGGGGGCTGAAAAAACCCTTTCATATTTGAGGTTCAAACCATATGAATCCATGAACCATCTTATATTTGGGATTCAGGTGAAATGGAAGCGGGGACCCTCTCGTATACGGGGTCCAGACCATGTGGGGCTGGAAACAGCTAGTAAGAGCTTACCCACCAGCTATTTTCTCTCTTAGCAAGATTTTACATCTGTCCCCAGCAGCCCAGTGATTCTACGTTATGAGCCTATAAATGGGAATCTTAGAACCCTTGGACAAAGTGAACTGCTTGGGAGAAGGTCACCGAAAGGCTTCCTGATTGATTTAGAACATGTCCTCCTATCAAAATCCCTGCTCAGTAAGACTACCAGCCTAGGCTCCTCCTTCTTCCTCCTATGTGCCATTTCCCCAGGACCTTTGTGAAAACCCTTGGCCTCTGCCACATCAAATATGAATTCTCTCCTAGAAAACTTCTGCTGAAAATATAAACTGTAATGAAAACATAGCATTTGGATTTTTTGCCTCACCACCCCCTGCCGGGCCCTGGGAGAATGTTCATTTACATTCTGGAACGATTGTCCAGAGTCAATTATCTTTAGTCAGCTTTTCAGTGACCTTCATTCGAATAGGACTTAAACAAGGGATTCAAGGTTTCCTATCTGCTGGACATGTCAGTTACTCTTTCATGATTTTCTCTGGAAATGGTGAAAAATCAATGTCCTCTCCGGAGACAGGCAGCAGAAAATCACCACAAGATGGAGCTTAACCCTGAAATGGCCAGTAGGGTTTGAACAGCAATCTGGTCTGATGAGGAAACGCTTGGAAGGTTTGGGTGGCTTGCCCAGTTCTCCCAGTGGGCTGGTGCATCTGTGGGAGAGTGAACAGATGGTCCCTTCGTCTGGCTAGAAATTTACTCAGCCTTTTGTGTTTGAGAATCACATAGAAGCTGCAGGCTCGATGTAAGGATTCTTGAAGAAATCAGAGTACACTCGCATAAGGAAGCTGGGTGGTGAGCTCTATATTATCCAGAAAGGAGACTTTAGTTAACATTTTCTGTTTCAAGGATTGAATAAGAGAAACCAAGCAACCGTGGGCCAGGGTGGGTCCATGTGAAAGAAAAGGAAGTAGTGAGAGGTTTGGTTCATGCGAGAGCTGGATGCCCAGTATGGTTCTACCACCCCATGGCCAAGAGGCAGCCACGTGTGGGCCTTGGCTGGAGGACCCTCCAGCCATGCTGAAGCCAAAGCCAGACATCCCTGAAAGGACCAGCTGGCTCCAACAGGCAAGCAGAGGACCAGCTCTAATCACATGGCCAGGAAAGAAAAAGGCAGCAACTCAAGGAGGTGAGGAAGGCACCGGCATCACCTTCCAGGGCAGTAGAAAGCCCTGGAGTTTGGGGACAATAGTGGGAAGGGGAGCCCCCAAACAGAAATCTTGAACGTCCAGCCAAGCTGATTCAGGGTAGTAAAAGTGATGTACCCTGAGTCTAGGCTGCTATTCATACTGCCCACGTCTCATTATTTACCGCAGCTAATAGAGGAGGATTGGAGTCTCATCCTTTTGCCTATTAAGTGCCACAGCATTTATTCTGGAAATTCTAGGCTGCAGACTCTAAAACTCCAATTTGTTCACAACTTGAAGAAGTCTCTAAGCTGAAAACATGATGTGTCACCTGTTACATAACACTAAAAATAAGGTAGTCTGGCCACTTGCACATCGTAGGATTCTGCTGAAAGACTTCTGAAATGACCTCACAAAATCTCAAAGATCTACTTGGAACCCACTAACTTGAAGTGAGCACTAGTAGAGTACATCAACTCTCTACCTTTCTGCTCCCCTGGAGAAATCCTCCAAAGTCTGCTTCCATGAGCCAGCAGCACCGTTAGCCCTGGGAGCTTGTTAGGGGTGCAGACCCTCAGGCCCCATCTCAGGCGTACTGAATCAGATCCTGCATTTTACCCAGGCCCCTATTTTATCTGTGTGAGCACTGAAGTCAAGAAGGACTACAAGGGCCTGAACAATAGCACAGCAGTCGGCTCTTGAACGTGCTGCCACGTTGCAAGCTCCCACCGGCCTGGAGCCTATGTCCTCTGAGACATATTACCCCTAAAATCAAAAGGACATTTGCATTTCCTCTCCACCAGCGAGAGAGAGAAAGAGAGAGAGAATGGCATCTCTCCCTAGGAGCACCTGCATGACCCCACCTAAGACTGCATGAAACATTGTGTCAAGAGGAAAGAAAGAAACTCCCAGGGCTTACCCTTGCCCTTCCATAAAGGAGACAATAATTTTGCAGGGTTACTACAAGGCTGGTGTAAAAAAAAAAAAATCCCTGACTTAATGGTGAAAGCAGTGACCGGCCCCGGGTTGGCTCACTTGGTCTGGAGTGGTGGGCCCACACGTGACAGTCCCCGGAGTCCTCCAGCGCCTGTGTGCACTTTCTCTTCTTGGTAGGTGGCAATGAGGCTCTAGAATCAAGAACCCAGGTTGAAGGTTAGGAGTTTTTGCTCTCCATGTTACATGAAATCAGATTCCGTTTCCCAGGTGTCTGCTCTCAGCCTTCTTAAAACTAGCTGTAGTTGGTTAAGACTCCTTGAGTCCTGGTCCTGATCCTCAGGACCACTAGGTTGTACGTGAGTGCACGGGACAAGCTCCTACCCCATGAGCCCTACTAGTCTGAAACATAGCTTTCCAATAGCCAGTAGATCTGAGATTCGAGTGCTTGAAAAATAAACTGACTATATATTTCCAAAGGCAGAGGACTCATTGAGACAAAGACAGGAACTTAAACTATAGAATATACATATACAAAATAGAAGTATATAAAATGTGTATACATTTTACACCTGAAATTTTTTTCACATGGAATTTTGTCACAATTTTTGAGGACCTTTACTCTTTCTGCCATTCTTTAGATTCAGGAGGAATGGAAGAGAGAAGGAGAAGAAGAAGGAAAAGAGGGGGAAGAAAAAATATTAAGTTAATGCATAATCAACAGGTATTTTTCTGAGAGCTCATTCACAAATCACTTGCGTATTCTAGCTGAGGCTGCAAATGCAAACAGTGCTTTTTTCCTTGCTCGGAATGCCCCCATACATTTCTGACATTTTAACTTTCCATTGAATAAGGACTTTGGGTTTGTGGGGTTTTAGTTAAAAGACGGTCTAGAGCCGAGGGGGCGGCGCCGGAGGGTGGTTTCGGGGGAGGAGAGCTTCCTGTGTCTGATATATGTCTCAACACCGCCATCTCCTGGAGAGAACGCCACGATTCATGCTTTACCGGCACTGCGTGGGGTGCTGGCTGCTCTGAGGTCTTTTATAACTAAATATGTTGCCCTTTACCCAGGGCTGTGGCACAGAGGCTGCTGATGGTAAGGACGGCTTATCCCCTGATGGGAGGACATGCATCGGTCCGAGGGGGCTGGAAGATGACTGGTGTCCGGGTAGCAGTGGCGAGAGCTGCCGAGGCCGTGGGCAGAGCTGCTCATTTCACAGGAGCTCTGCGGCAGGTGTGCAGGGAGCATCCCGGCAGTAGCTGCAGAATGGAGAGGGGTAGCTGGAGTCCTCCCGGCTGCGGCTGCGGGTCTCGTGGCCGGGCAGCAAGCACCTGGGGGAACATATCAGTGAGAAGGGCCTCTCTTTCTGACAGCCCAGCGTCCCAGAAGACATGGCAAGGTGTGCGGGCGGCAGAGTGCACTCACCTTGCATCTGTGGAGGAGAACAGGAGTCTGATGCGGAATAGGGTGGAGTATCGGGGAGCTGCTGCTGCCTGAGGATTAGAGACATACATTGCTTTTTGTTGTGACCTGTTCCGTCATTATAGCTCTTCACAAATGGGAGACAGCTCTGAGTACTCTGTGCACAGTACACTGTGGGGCCCAGAGCCCACCAGATCACGCCTAGTGTAGCATGTTAAGTAAATGGGTTTTGAGGCAGACCAAACTGGGTTTGGGTCCCAGCTTTTCCACTGCCTAGCTGTGTATCCATGACCAAGATCTTAGTCTCTCCAGGCTTGTTTCCTCACCTGCAATACGGGAATAACCATCATGCCTTCCTCCTAGCATCCTTGTGAGAATTAAATGAGATACTGTGTATAAAACACATAACATAACGTCCCCAGAGTTCATGCTCAGTTATAGTTTATATATATACACTTATATATATACAGTTTATTTATTATAGTTTAATTAACAGTATTGTTGTTTCTAAACATTTCAAACACTTACACCAGAGAGATGGTTGTGCACCCTGTTTGGGCTAACAACCTATAAAATGTCATCACCAAAGCAATGGTTTTCCATTTGTACATGGGGAAATCCCAAAGCTCTTGGAATGAGCTCAGTGGTTTTACAAAAGAAAAAAATGTCTGGGGGAAAAAAATTCATAACTTTTCCTGTTTTATATATTGAGGTGCAAGCACAATCTCTTTATGAAAAAAATGAGTACCACTACTAAAAAGAGTGAAATTTTCTGTCTCAAAAAACCTGCAAGTTCCTTATGGCTCAGAAACTCCATGATTCTAAGGCATTCAGAAGTACCACCACTGTCCACTTGATTCTCCTGCTAGAGAGTAAGCTATCATGTTTTTCTTGGTTGATTTAAGATTTTAACCTCATACAATGAAAAGTCTATTTTTATTTGTTTACTAGAAAAGTAAGGTTTTCTCCTCAAACTGATCCTTTATAATTTATTCACTCTTTATGAATAAAGGAAGAGAAAACCTTCCTCCAGCAATGCCACCTTCCTACAAAAACACCACCAAAAATGAAACTAAAGGAATAAAGAGGAGTAAACTGAAAAGGACATAGAGTACATGTGCAGAGAGCACAACAGACTGTATTTTAATAACACTGCGGCAGACAGAAGTAGGATAGATGGTAACTGAATTAACAGAACAGAAAAAGCAAAAACAAGACTGCCTGGAGATGGCAGAAGGGACACAGTCAACAAGAGATTATTCAATTTTATTTATTTTTTATTTTTTAAAAGATTTTATTTATTTATCCAACAGACAAAGATCACAAGTAGGCAGAGAGGTAAGCAGAGAGAGGAGGAAGCAGGCTCCCTACGGATGCAGGGCTCGATCCCAGGACCCTGGGATCATGACCCGAGCTGAAAGCAGAGGCTTTAACTCACTGAGCCACCCAGGCGCCCCAAGAGATTATCCAATTTTAAAATAACTCCAGAAAAGCCCAAGACATTGGAGTCACTAGAAATCTCTGAATTCAGGAGGAAGTTGGAGCTGAAAACAAAAAGTTGAAAGTTTGCTTAAGGAACAGTTGGACCCTTGGATTAGCTTCCCCAACCTGTACAGCTCAACAACTACCTTCCTCAGCCCAAGGGAAGTTGAAAGGGTTTACTCTCTGGAGAAACAGATTCCAGGGTTAAAATGAGCTAAAAATGGATGGATTCAATGAAAGTCTAAATGCTGAACCCTGAGACCCTTCCTCAACTTAACTTTGCAGGCATCCAGGCAGATTTCCTGCAGTAAGAAATTGGAAGATCGTTCCCCAGAAAAATTGAATGTCCGCAAGGGAAAAAATAAGATTTTGAAGTTACCGCTCAAAATGGCCAATCCCGGCTTAATCACTCTACAGCCTTTTGAGAATAATGGCTTGCATGCAGAACATCTTAAACAGCACAAAAATGAAGGATCAGACATTTCCAGAAACCTTTAACGTTAAGGACAAAGAACAAGCAGCTAGATAAAGAAGGGATGCAAATAAAACAAAACAAAAACAAAAACAAATCCACAAAGAGCTCTTCTGCTTCTGATATCACTAGTAAGCTCCTACCAGTTTGACCTTTTTATACTATGAACTCTGGAAAATTTTTTTTTAAATCTGCCTAAAAATACTGGAAAGTGGACAATAGCAAGTGGATTCTGGGGGGACACTGAAACTTAGATGAAGGTAATAGCATAAGGAGGGTTACCTGTTTATAGCTTTTAGCCTCAAGGCCAGTTGAAGGCAGAACCACAGACCAGCTAAAACTCCAATACTAACACACAAATTTTCTGACCTAAAGAACCAGAGAACAGAGTTTGGGACAAACAGCCTCTTAAAGTGAAAGGGGAATCTTGGGAAAAAGAGATTCAGAGAGGGGAACCCTATAGATTCTGTGTAAAAACTCTGGCCAAGAGTCTGTCAGACTCCTGAGCCATCAATGTATGCGGCTGACTGCACATAGTCCAACCAAAAAAATAATAAAAAAAATAAAAAGTAAAAAAGGCAAAATGAATGAACAAATAAACAAAACTGAACTAAAATTTAAGTTACTTCCCAAGAGACAGAGTTTATCATTTGAGTTTAAGGAAAGTAACTGCCTGGTAAAACAGAAGTATATATATACTTTTCAGAGGAAATTAAAAAAAAAAAAAATCCAGACATTCAAAATGTCTAGAATACAATTAAGGATTACTCAACAAATGAGGAAGCAGGAAAATGTAGCCTAGCCTTGAGGAAAAGAACAGTTAGTGGATACCAACCCAGAAATGATCCAGATATTGGATTAGTAGATAAATCCATACTTTAGCAGCAGCCATTATAAAAATAGCTGTTGTAATTAAGCCTAATAAAGTATAAGATAATGTGTTTGTAAAGAATAAAAAATACAAAATCTCAGCAAAAAAATAGAAACTAAAAAAGAACTAAATAGAAATTCTAGAACTGAATAAAACTAGAAATGAAAATAAAAACAGAAAATTTAAAAATTACTTAGTGGTGTAACAGAAGAACTTGAAGACAAATTAGTAGGTATAATCCAGTCTAAAGAACAGAGAAGGAAAAATGAATCTTAAAAGAGGGAGAGAAAGAGAGATTTGTGAACCGTGAGAGAATATAACAGAAAAATAATTAAAGATATAATGACAAAACCTTCCCAAATTTAGTAAAAAACAAATTTATAGGTTTCAGAAACTTACCAAATCCTAAGATAAATATAGAGAAAACCACACCTAGGTCATCAGAGTCAAATCAGTAAAAAAAAAAAAAAAAGAGAGATTTTCAAAAGTAACCAAAGAAAAACAACATATTATATGTAGGGTAATAGTGGTTCAAATGACAAATGACTTCTTAGCAAAATCTCCAGAAGTAAGAAGACAGTGCAACAATATCTTTAAAGTGCTAGTGAAAATCAAAACTGACAATCTAGAATTTCATATCTGATTAAGATATCTTCCAAGAATAAAAGCAAAATAAAGATACTGTCAGATTAAAAAAAATTTTTAAGTGAAACCATAAACAGACATGTACAATAAGAAATATTAAAGACATTATTTAGGCTAGAGGAAATTATATCAGATGGAAACTTGAAACTTTAGAAAGAAATGCAAAGAGTAAAGAATTGTATGTATCTGATGCAACTTCATTTTTTTTTTCTTAATTTATTTAAAATACATAGGACTGATTAAAGCAAAAATTGTGGTATTATCTTGTAGCACTTATAATGTATGAAGGTGTAATACTTATGACAACTACAGCCCAGAGGAAGGCAGTGGGGGATAAAATAAAATTACATAGTTGAAAGTTTCTACATTTTACATAAAGTGATACAATATTAATTCATTAACTCCAAGTAGACTGTAAAAAAGTTAAATGATGCAAAGAGGTATAGCTAAAGTCAATAAATAAGATGGATCTAAAATTATTCAAATAATACAAAATAAAGTAAAAAGGAGTTACAAAGAAGAAATAGGAAGGATAAAAAGATGACAAATAATAAAATGGCACAATTAAATACATTATCAGTGATTACATTAATTGTTAATGGACTAAAACTCCAATAAAAGGCAGAGATTGTAAGCATGGATTTTTTTTTTTTAAAAGCAAGACCAACTGTATGTTATCTGCAAGCAACACTCTAAATTTTAAGACTCAGATAAGTTGAAAACAAATGGGAGAAAAAGGTATGAGAAGGCAGAAGTGATTTCATGAATAAGTAAAATAGACTTCAAAATAAAGATCATTACTAAAAATAAAGAGGCTCATTCCATAATAATAACAGTTCTTTCATTAAGAAGAAATAGCAATCATGATTGTTTACATATCCAATAACAGAACTTCAAAACACTTGAATCAGAATTGACAGAATTAAAAGGAGAAATAAATAACTATACAATCATAGTTGGAGATTTTAACATCCCTCTCTCAACTGGTAGAACAAAATAGGTAGTACAAATTGATAGAACAAAAAAGTCAGTAATGACAAAGATCACCTGAGAAATTTCTTTAAGAAGAAAAGTAACTGAGGTGTTTGAATGCTGAAAGATATTTTGCAGTTCCCTTCAGAGAATTTGTGGGAAGAATTAATGATAGTTATATTCAAAGCCAAGAAAACCATGAAAAGAAGGCTATGGTTCAAGAAAAACAAGATCAAGAAAGAAAATATAATCATAATAAATGATATGTGAAGACATAGTGATAATAATGTAAGCCCTGGATATTGACCCAACCAAAAATTTTTATAGAACTTTATGTTATTGGGAGGTTGGTGCTAGAAATGGGTGTCAGATGTGGTATAAGAAGTTAAATCTCCCCTGAAGATGATATTAAGTTCTTAAAATATATAAAGTAAGAAGAGCAATATAAAGCAGCATTTAGATACAAAGTGGTAGAAATATCTAAAAGTGTGGGAAAGTATCTGCCTCTGGGAGAGGCAAACTGATGATCATGGAGAAGATGAGAATTGCTGGTTTTTATTGTAAGCCATATACACACAGTACCATTTGACTTCTTAAATTCTGCACGTGTCACTTCTGTAGAACTACAA